ACTGACTTTAACCATATGAGCTACAGCATTTTTTACATGACAAAGGCTCACTAGTTTATGCCACGGTAGTGTCTGCTCAGAATCCCCTGGCTTTATTTACAAAACACATTTCCACACACAAACTGTACTTCTAGTACGATTTATACGCAATGTTATATATAATATAACAAGCCGCTGGGACACTGAGTGACAGGAAAACTGCAATCCATTCATTCAGTTCCAAAACAAAACATTTCCCAATCTGCACAAATAATAGGTAAACAAAAAGTGCAGGTTGGACAAAATCCCGTCTAAATGAATGAGAATATAAGATGTCAAACTGCAATGCCAAAGACGCATTTCATTTTAGTGCAAATTATTTTAAGGGGATTTTAATATATTGTCTAAACATCAGCAATATGATGGGTTAGGGGAAAATATTGCATTTAAAATGTGTTGGAAATATTTGCAATATTTAAACTTAATCACGTGAACCAATAGGATGCAAAATTGTGTGTATAATACAAAATTGAAAATGGATTTTTATCTGCTATAGTATGTCATGTTTCTTTTTGTGATTATCAAGGACATCTACATTTAAAAAAAAAAAAAAAATCCTTTCTCTCTGAGGAATTGTAAGCATTTCACACAGAACTACAAAACAGTATTTAAGGAAAAACTATGGAAACCTCTGCTCCAGTCGACAGACAGAGAAATTAAATTAGCCATTAACCAACCCATTAACCTCCCTAGTAAGCAAGACACCTGTTTTTACAAGTAGCAGAGCAAATCAAATGTGAGATAATCCTGATTAAATATTACAAACTTTCAATTCATTCAGGGGAGGGATAACTGAAATCACTGCTTAGTAAAAGGATAATTCTCTTTCCTGTTTCAATGTAACAAGATTGTGGAAATGTCCATAAATATAGTTCTCACATAATGACGTAGAGGAATTATATATAAATAATAATATATAAATGTAGGTTTCATTGAAGTAAAATATTTATACATTTTAATGCAGTCATGTTTTTGATTTTTAAAATCAGCAGTGAAAATGCTTTGGGTAAGAAAGCAGTGAAAATATCCAGACCATCTGAAGGTATGGACCGACCATGTCAACAGAAAAATAAATATTTATTACATTTGTAAAACAAAACTACAATAATGTGTTCGAGGAGAAACAGACAATGAAGTTCCTAGTATAATCTTGTTTTTAAGGAAGCAAGGATGCAGGCACAGTTAGATAAGATCACTTATTTGTAGCAAAACAAGTCAAAATGTATTCCTATTGGAGTATTTTACCCCAAAACAAGATTACAATTCTACAGAGATTGAAAAAGGGTCAAACATTATGCATTTTCCTATATCTTACCGGATACTTAGTATCATTATCCATATTCAGTTATCCTACATCATTACAGCTACTTAGAACTGCTAACTATCCAGAGGAAAAAAGCAGTGGACACTATTGCTTGGTGTACATCACAAGTTTTTCTACAAAGGTTTGAAACTGATTGTGCTAGCATCAACTGCATAGGGCAAGAGGCGCCATCTTCCTAAAATGTATTATTCCTTGAACTGAAATGAGACCGAAAGGTGGCAGTGCCTGCACACATGGCTTTGCCCCCTTTCCTGTCTGGCAAAATAGGAGAGTTAATCTAAAAACTAAGGCATCCTCCTAAAATACTCAGCTGGTATGGTTATGCCAGCCATCCAGTGAGATTGTCCACAAATAATTTCAAGTGTAGAGACTGTGATGGCCGGTTTTAATTAACCCTTTAGGATTAATGCAATGTCAGGATATGCCTAGCTGTACTTATAAAAGGAAAGGGGAAGAATTTTACAAAACAGGCCTTTTTTTTTTTTTAAAACTAAAACGCAGGTTAATTTTTGGTGGTCACCAAAAAATGATAAAAGGTTCACTTCTATCAACAAGATCCTTTAATGATCTGGTTCATGTACACATTGATAAGTTGCAAAGCAATTCTGATACAGTAATTAAAACAGTTTGCTATATGAGACTATTCCACACATCTCATGCTATACACAATACCAAATATGTATTGAAAGTAATGAGCTTGCTAGGAATAGTTTGTCATCAGCAAAGAGTGTGTAAATGCCAAAAAACAAGAAGAAACCTTAACATCACAGCTGGCACTGAGAAACAGCCCCCTCTCGGCAGCAAACAGGGACACAAGAAGATTCTGTGAACAGTCACATATTACATTACTTTCTAAACCTCTAAACTTCCAGATTTGGGGGGACAGACACATGAGGGGTTGGGGGGCTTCTTGCTTCCTACCGGGGAGAAAGTTTGCAGGGCAGAATCCGGTCGGATTTGTTCCAAATCGTCTCTTGGATTTCTGCTGACTCTGGATACTTTTCCACTTGAACTTGGAGAGGAGCGGCCCTGAAGAAAGAGGGGAAAAAAACATGTCTGACTTTCATGTCTCCCCCATCCAGCAATCAGACAGGAGGAACACAGCAGACTAGGGTTTGTGGGGAGGTCAGTCTGTGCACTCGCTGCATCAGGGGGGCTGGTTTTCCTCTCACATGCAGTTCAGACGCTGCTAAGTTCTTCCTTCTTCAAGAAAAATGTGAAAAATTTATTTTTTTTCTTGGAGCTGGTAATGTCAGAGGAGCTTTGTGACTCAGTAAACTCCAGGAAAGCAGCAGGCTACTGATAGCCAAACTACCTCCACAGTAAGCTACATCCCTCTATTACCCCTTATCCCAGGTGGCAAGTACGAGCAACATTACCCTTAACACAGGGATAAACAAGGCACCACTGCACTTTCTCAGGGAGACAAACACTGAAACATTACCCTTATTACGGAGGAGTGGAAGTGGCAAACAGAAACATTACCCTTAGTACGGTTAGGGCGCAAACAGAATCATTACCCTCATTATTGAGGGGGGTGGGGAGGGCAAACACAGAAGCATTACTCTCATTATTGGGGGGGGCAAACACAGAAGCATGGAAGAAGCATTACTCATTATTGGGGCAAACACCATTACCTCATTATTGGAACACACAGAAGCATTTACTCTCATGTTGGGGCAAACACAGAAGCATTACTCTCATTATTATTGGGGCAAACACAGAAGCATTACTCTCTCAAACACAGAAGCATTACTCATTATTGGGAGGGGCAAACACAGAAGCATTACTCATTATTGGGGCAAACACAGAAGCATTACTTTCACAGAAGCATTACTCATTATTGCTCATTATTGGGCAAACACAGAAGCATTACTTCAAACACGGAAACGGGGGCTTGAAACACAGAAGCATTACTCTCATTATTGGGGGCAAACACAGAAGCATTACCCTCATTATTGGGGGAAGGCAAACACAGAAGCATTACCCTCATTATTGGGGGGGCAAACACAGAAGCATTACCCTCATTATTGGGGGGGCAAACACAGAAGCATTACCCTCATTATTGGGGGGGCAAACACAGAAGCATTACCCTCATTATTGGGGGGGCAAACACAGAAGCATTACTCTCATTATTGGGGGGGGCAAACACAAACATTACTCTCATTATTGGGGGGGGCAAACACAGAAGCATTACTCTCATTATTGGGGGGCAAACACAGAAGCATTACTCTCATTATTGGGGGTGCAAACACAGAAGCATTACTCTCATTATGGGGGGCAAACACAGAGGCATTACTCTCATTATGGAGGGCAGACACAGAAGCATTACTCTTATTACAGGGGCAAACACAGAAGCATTACTCTTATTACAGGGGCAAACACAGAAGCATTACTCTTATTACAGGGGCAAACACAGAAGCATTACTCTTATTACAGGGGCAAACACAGAAGCATTACTCTTATTACGGGGGCAAACACAGAAGCATTACTCTTATTACGGGGACAAACAGAAGAATTACTCTTATTACGGGGCAAACACAGAAGAATTACTCTTATTACGGGGACAAAGAAGAATTACTCTTATTACAGGGACAAACAGAAGAATTACTCTTATTACGAGGGGCAAACACAGAAACGTTACTCTTATTACGAGGGGCAAACACAGAAACATTACTCTTATTACGAAGGGCAAACACAAACATTACTCTTATTACGAGGGGCAAACACAAACATTACTCTTATTACGAGGGGCAAACACAAACATTACTCTTATTACGAGGGGCAAACACAAACATTGTCCTTACATGGAAGGGAATCTGGCCTCATTTTACTGAACAAGTAAATTTAACCTTGTGAAAGCTCTGCAGAGTAAGCCCATCATAACCTTGCACTCACTCTGCTGAGTAAAACACCCCTAACCCGGCACTCAACCACTTGAGTGACCTCCTTTAAAGCTGAGCCGTCTCAAATGACTAGCCTTAAACTTGCTCTCACCCTGTTGATCAACTTATCCTAACCAGACACTCATGTTAAGCAAACCTTTTTTTTTTTTCCAATACATGCACCCTGCTGAATATTCCTCAGCTCTATACTCACTCTACTGAGTCCCCTATTTTGTCCTTCATTCACTCTGCTGAGTCCTACCCAATATTGCACTCAGTCTGAGTTCACAGTTAATCATGCACTCTTCTTGCTGAGTTACACTATTAGAATTTCACTCTTGTTTAATGCCCAACAGCCCTGCCCATTCACATTGCTGGGTACCTCATCTCTCCTCTGGAGCTGCTGAGTGATCTCTCTCTCACCTACTTCTGCTGAGTGCTCACTCTTTCCCCTATTCTTGCGTGTCTCTCATTGCTACCCTTGCTGTCATGGAGTGTCCCCTCGCTGTTACGGAGTGTCCCCTCGCTGTTACGGAGTGTCCCCTCGCTGTTACGGAGTGTCCCCTCGCTGTTACGGAGTGTCCCCTCGCTGTTGTTACGGAGGGTCCCCTCACCCTCTGCCTTGCAGTTACTGAGGGTCCCCTCACCCTCTGCCTTGCAGTTACTGAGGGTCCCCTCACCCTCTGCCTTGCAGTTACTGAGGGTCCCCTCACCCTCTGCCTTGCAGTTACTGAGGGTCCCCTCACCCTCTCCCTTGCAGTTACTGAGGGTCCCCTCACCCTCTGCCTTGCAGTTACTGAGGGTCCCCTCACCCTCTGCCTTGCAGTTACTGAGGGTCCCCTCACTCTCTCTCTCCCTTGCAGTTACTGAGGGTCCCCTCACTCTCTCTCTCCCTTGCAGTTACTGAGGGTCCCCTCACTCTCTCTCTCCCTTGCAGTTACTGAGGGTCCCCTCACTCTCTCTCTCCCTTGCAGTTACTGAGTGTCCCCTCACTCTCTCCCTTGCAGTTACTGAGGGTCCCCTCACTCTCTCCCTTGCAGTTACTGAGTGTCCCCTCACCCTCTCCCTTGCAGTTACTGAGGGGTCCCCTCACTCTCTCCCTTGCAGTTACTGAGTGTCCCCTCACTCTCTCCCTTGCAGTTACTGAGTGTCCCCTCACCCTCTCCCTTGCAGTTACTGAGTGTCCCCTCACTCTCTCCCTTGCAGTTACTGAGTGTCCCCTCACTCTCTCCCTTGCAGTTACTGAGTGTCCCCTCACTCTCTCCCTTGCAGTTACTGAGTGTCCCCTCACTCTCTCCCCTGCAGTTACTGAGTGTCCCCTCACTCTCTCCCTTGCAGTTACTGAGTGTCCCCTCACTCTCTCCCTTGCAGTTACTGAGTGTCCCCTCACCATCTCCCTTGCAGTTACTGAGTGTCCCCTCACCATCTCACTTGCAGTTACTGAGTGTCCCCTCACCCTTGCAGTTACTGAGTGTCCCCTCACTCTCTCCCTTGCAGTTACTGAGTGTCCCCTCACTCTCTCCCTTGCAGTTACTGAGTGTCCCCTCACCCTCTCCCCTTGCAGTTACTGAGTGTCTCCTCACTCTCTCCCTTGCAGTTACTGAGTGTCCCCTCACCCTCTCCCCTTGCAGTTACTGAGTGTCCCCTCACCCTTTCCCCTTGCAGTTACTGAGT